GGGAAAGCTCACTAGCTGTGGGCGAAAGAAGTAGGATCTGGCTGAGTACTCAAGGCAAGGGTCCACCATTTTCAGCTTATCCATCAACCACACCTAGGAAAGGATAAAAAACTAAGAGAGATTAAATAATAAAGAGATGTGCGTTGAGGGAGAAAATAAGGAAAAGGCTCTTGAGAGAAAATAGAGAGTGAGTGCCAAAGTGATGTGAGAAATCATAAATAAGAAAGGATAGGAAATAATACCTGGAGAAGCAGTGGACTCCCCGCAAACCGAAAAGTTTCTCGCCGATGGAAAGCATCCAAACCCATTAAGGTTTCAACTAGTGCCAAGCCTATACAGCTTCAGCCATCCTTAAGGCGTTGAGCCACTTTGATCAAACGAATACTGACTCCACTGCCACTAAGGGCAAGAAGATAATAGGCGAGTAAACAAATGTAGAGAGCATGCTGGCGATAACCTTGCTAAAGAAGATCACGCCTATTTCTGATATCGGAGAAACGGTGAATCAGGCCAAGAATGTCCAACTCTCCATCATGAGCCAAAGATTTAGTCTCGTTGAAAGAGAGGCCACACATCCGTTCAAGAGCTTATGCATGGCTAAAAAGCGGTTGAGGCATAATCTCTTCATTACGCAGGGACTCCATTAATGCTTGAAAATCTTCAAGAGTGGGACACATCTCTTGCAATCTGAAGCGAAAGACAAGAGTAATTAGATCCCAACAGCGAGCAGTGGCGTGGAGAAACAGAAAACAGAATGAAGTGTGGCTCAAGGAAAAAAGGGTGTTTATGCTGAAACCATTGCAATTTACCTTTTCCGTGTCATCCAAAGTGGCCATCCAATCCTTGAGCCTCTCAACAAGAAAAAAATCTCCATTTCTAGAGAAAACTAGCAGAAAAGTGATGTTCTGATTGTAAAAGCAGCAAGAGAAGACCTTTATAGAAGATAAGGGTGTGTGAGTGGCTGACAGTTGTTGCCAGCTGTCCAATAGCAATTCTTGGCCGACCGGCCACTTCCTCAAACGACCGCACATTTCATTGGTTGGCCGGCCAAGTATGCTGACCAAACAACTTGGTAGCAGTATTATGTTTGCCCTCTTTGTTTTTGAGTCTTGTTTTGGTATTTTTTTATGTTTTGAATTTTTTTTTTTTTAGATCCACTTAATTTAGATACATTTGAAAAATATATAATTTTATGATTTTTTAAAATATTCCCTCAATATAAAATTCAATATATTTTTGTATTTATTTAATATTTTTTTTAAAAATCACAATTATTTTACTTTTTAAAAATATTTAGATTAGATACATTAAAAAATTGATTAAAATATAAAAGAAAAAAAATTAAAAACTATCGTCGATTTGTGGTGCTTAAACATGGAGTTTTTGATTTAAGATCCCCTAGCAATATTTTTTTTAGAAGGATAAAGACAACACAATTTTTTATATTAGTTTAGGTCCTTCAAAACACGTGGTAACAAAATTCTATAACTTTCGATCTAAATCTCTGTTGTTTATAAAATTATAATTTTGGAATCATTTTATCAAGATCTATAAAACAAGATCCATGATGAATAAAAAATTTCTAAAAGAAAAAAGTTGACGAAATTTTAGTTGATCAATAAAATTTTGATGACTAAGTCAGTGAAATTTCGATGATCAAATCAGTGAAATTTTAGTTGGTCAGTAAGTTAATAAAATTTCATAAAAAAAATTTCTTTAGAATTTTATATTACTTATGGATTTTGTTTGAAAGATCTTATCAATAGGATTCTAAAATTATAAATTTTTCAAAAAAATGGAGATGTAAATAAAACTGATTAAATTTTAAAAAAGGTAAATTATACTAACACCCCCTAAGGTTTATGTTTATTACAGTTCCCCCTCACCTTTTGGAAATTACATCTCCCCTCTTGAGGTTTAAAGTTTCATTACAGATTCCCCCTTAGCAATTTAATTTTTTTAAATACCAATTTTGCTCTCACTAGGTAAATTACATTAACACCCCTCACATTTTAGAAATTACAATCCCCTCCCTAAGGTTACCAATTGCCCCCTCGATTAGTATTAGTTGAAAAAAAAATTCATTGGAAAAAAAATTAATTAGAAAAAAAAAATATTTGAAAAAAAAATTTGTTAGTAAAATTTTTAAATTTCTGTTTAAAAACCAACGTAAACTCATTTTTTGAATTTACGTTTTTTTTTCTCAAATTTACAAACTGAGACAACCATTTATAAACCAAAAAAATTATCAAGCAAGTTTTTATGACAGTTTTTAAAATTTTTGTAAATATAAATTAAAAACTGAAAACAAAATGATTACTAAACAGGTTTCAGATGGTAAAAATATCGTAAAATTAAAAAATAATTAAATAAGTTACCAACGTAAGAAAGGACTTATCAAAAGATTCTTAGGCTATGTATGGTTTGATTTTTAGAATTTTTTTTAAAAAAATTAAAAATTAATTTGGTTAAGAAATAAAAAATAAAAAATAATTATCATTTTTATACAATTTTTATCTTTCGAATGGTTAGAAATAATTTTTTACAAATTAAATTGAAACAACCATATGTATGTATATAACCTGCCCAAAAGTTAAAATGATAATTATTTTTTATTTTTTATTTCTTAACCAAATTAATTTTTAATTTTTTTTAAAAAAATCTATAGCCTAAAATCTTTTGATAAGTCATTTCTTAAGTTGGTAACTTATTTAATTATTTGTTAATTTTACGATATTTTTACCATCTGAGACCTGTTTGGTAACCATTTCGTTTTTAGTTTTCAATTTATATTTACCAAAATTTTAAAAACTGTCATAAAAACTTGTTTGATAATTTTTTAGGTTTATAAATGGTTGTCTCAGTTTGTAAATTTGAGGAAAAAACGTAAATTCAAAAAATAAGTTTACGTTGGTTTTTAAACAAAAATTTAAAAATTTTACTAACAAAATTTTTTTTCAATTAAATTTTTTTTCAATGAATTTTTTTTCCAACTAATACTAACCGAGGGGGCAATTGGTAATGCTACTTTAAACCTTAGGGAGGGGATTGTAATTTCTAAAATATGAGGAGTGTCAATGTAATTTACCCAGTGAGGGCAAAATTGGTATTTAAAAAAATTAAATTGCTGAGGAGGGAATCTGTAATGAAACTTTAAACCTCTGTGGAGAAGTGGTTTGGAAATACTCTTCTGATCCTGAGGAACGCTCGTGATCCTCTTCCGGTCACCTGAAAAAGAATAAAACACTCCGGCAGGGGTGCCGGAATTAGCACACTGACGGACAAGTCAGTAACCACATTCAAGAATACTTATATTCTAAGTTAAGCACTACAATTCTCACATACCTCTTTCTGGCTGATGTTCTTCTATTTATATCTTTTCTTCCATGGGCCTCGGGATTAGGTCTATTTCCAACTCATATTCGGCACATCTTATAATAGACCGACCCTCACTCGACCCCTTGCCTAATCGGCTATTTGGCCGAATGGGGTTGGATTTGAACGTGCGAGCCAATTGGCGAGTGCTTCGAATCTCGACTCTCCGAGATTCGACTATCCAGAATCTCTACGACTCCCTCTTCTCGGCCCCCATAATTGCCCCCCAAGCACTCCACTAACGATAGTTGGCTGGAATGTTTGGTTTCGAACTCGAAGAGTCAGAGACGAAATTCAGCGGCTGACCGTATTCCAACGCAAATGTCTATACACACGCTTCCCGGTTATCATTTCAACTTCCGGCCTCTTCGTACGTTTCTATTTATTGCGATTTGAAATTTCAACGTCTTTTCAAATGCATACATGCTTTTAGACGCCCGTCCCTGGATTGTCTTCCGAACTACCTCTGCAACTTCCTACTCTTCTCCATCTCCTTTGCCTCTTGTAAGTTCTCTCCTTCTCTGCTTTGTTTTTCTTTTGGCTTAGCATAATCCTATTGGCTGGGGAAATGGCAAAACATTTAAAAGATCTCCTCTCACCAGATCGAATTTCTGGCTTTCGACGCCATTTTTCCATTCCTGATGATGTTCGTCTGTCATTTGTGGCACCCTCGATATGGAAACGGTTGATGAGACCACGATCATCTTTCCTCTTCTATCAATCGCAGAGGGTGGGATCCATTTTTCCCTTCACCCTCTCCTTAAGGCCGTGCTTTGCCATTGGGGGTTAATCTCTTCCCAACCCAACGTCAACTTCTATAGGATCGTGATGGAGATTATCGCACTAAATCACCGCCTTAGGCTTAACCTTGGCATTCCTGCTATTCGGCATTGCTACGCCTTGGCCAAGTCTTCTAGTCGGCATGGGCGTTATTTTCTTAGGGCCAAAGACACCGACCATCAACTAGTGACTATGCTTTCTAGCTCTGGGAAGTGAGTCGATCATGTTATGGTCGTCGTCCAAGGAAACTGGAAATTCGGCGAAGGTGAGGATCGCCTTGATCGTATTCCTAGACAGAGGGGCGAACCAGGTGGCCGAGTTTCTTCTTTTATTTATTTACTTGTTATATTTATTAAACTTTATTTTTGGGACCTCATATTTTTGCTTTTGCAAGAAACGATTTGAAGAAAGTCTTGATATCGACCAACGACGCCGTCCTTTCAGAAATCAAGACTACGCTTAAGTATTTCAGCCGACCGAGTTTTCAGAAGCAGGGGAGGGTGGCCCACGTTCTACTCCGCTACGAGCCGACTTATACAACCTTTTCGGCGGCGGAGAACATTCCAATTCCGAAGGGTGAGGAGTTTCTTATCGCCCTTATCTTGACTGATTTCAGAAATTTGAGGCAAATCGGTCACGAGGGATCAGATTCGGAGTGACCGGAAATAGCTGAGGCCACCGAGTCAGACCAATCCGAAACTGAGGTTGACGAGGCTTTGAAGTTAGCATTTGAAGAAGCCGGCCTCAATTCGGCTGATCCTCCGTCCACTTCGGGTCGGGAGAACCGTCTGCTCGACGATATTTTTCACGGTCTAGAGGACCTTCCCAGCGCGTTCCTAGAAGGTATGGCTGGGTTGAGCCTCACCAAACTTGCCAAGAAGGCAAAAGCGGAAAGGATGGCCGCGCGGCGAAGGGCGGAGGAGATTCGGGCTGCCGAATCTCAATCCCAGACCTCCTTGCCTGTTATTGAGGGGACGACAAAGAACGGAAGTACCGAGGCAGAACCTTTTGTGCAGGCAAGTGTGGAAGCTGAACAATGGGTGGAGAAAGGCCCTGCCTATGTCGAGGCTGGCTCAGAAGAACGTGCTGACAAACGACCTCGTTTGGAGGAGTCGGATGTGATCGTACCTTTTGTTATCCAGCCCAAGATAAAGAATATGCCGATCTTCTCTGATGCTTCGGTGATCAAAGATCCAGTGGTTGCACTCAACTTGGCGACGTCCGTTTCATTGCTTGCTAACAAGGCGGCTTTTCGGGCAGAGCCGGATCTGGTTGCAATTGGGTTGGCCGCGCAATCGGCTCTTTTGGTATATATATGCACTTTGTCTTTTCTCTTTACGCAGATATTATTTTGTTCTTATTTTCCTATTTTGCAGGCCGTCGGAAGAATAGCCGACATGGGTCGTCGCTATCATGATGCCGTCAAGCTAATTGTCCGTTTACAAGCGGAGGTTGAGGGCCAAAGGAGTAGGGCGCAGACGGAGGGCGCCCGTGCCGAGGCCGAGATGGAGAGAGCCCGCAATGCTGAAGAATTGAGATCAGTCACTGAGAAAAGGGCGGATGCGAGCGACGACGCACTTAAATTGGCCCAAGAGGGGATCTCTAAATTGGAGGCTCGGTTGGAAGAGATGAAGACGGCGAAGGAAACGGCCGACCTGAAGGCTTCCAGCGCATTTGATGCTGGAAAAAAATCTGCTTTTGATGAATATCTAGACGAAGTCCCCAAATTTGAGAATTGGGGATTTAAACACGGCTGGCTCAAAGCCCTTGCTACTGTTGATGTGACATTGGCTACGCCAATTCCATACGAGCAAGTGGATGTTGAGCCGCTGGAGTCTGACTCCGAGGACTAATTTGGGCAGCTCTTGTTTTTTGTTTTAGAATTTGCATGTAATTTTCAGCTTTTTACAGCTTTTTGTCTAGTAATTTTCACATGTAAAATGGTTACAATTTGTGCCCAATTTACTTAATGAAAATTCATTTTGTACTTTGCTGTTACTAAAGAACGGAATTGTTTGGTTGCTGTTTTGGATAAAACATTTTGTATACTTGCTGAATAGATGATAGGCCGTTTAGATAGTTAGGCCGTTTAAAACACCAAAAATCAGTACATGAAGTGGCTGTGGCACACTTTAATCGGTATGGGGCCAAGATGCTCAGCCGGCTTGATTAATAAATCTGCCCTTGCCCCAGCCAGTGCATAGACTTCAAGGCATTCGCCCATAATCGCCGTTTAGATAATTAGGCCGTTTAAAAAGCAAAAAATCAGTACATGAAGTGGTTGTGGCACACTTTAATCGGCATGGGGCCAAGATGCTCGACCAGTTAGATTAATAAATCTGCCCTTGCCCCAGCCAGTGTATGAACTTCTAGGCATTCGCCCATAATCTCCGTTTAAATAATTAGGCCGTTTAAAAAGCCAAAAATCAGTACATGAAGTGGCTGTGGCACACTTTAATCGGCATGGGGCCAAGATGCTCGGCTGGTTAGATTAATAAATCTGCCATTGCCCCAGCCAGTGCATGGACTTCAAGGCATTCACCCATAATCGCCGTTTAGATAATTAGGCCGTTTAAAAAGCCAAAAATCAGCACATGAAGTGGTTGTGGCACACTTTAATCGGCATGGGGCCAAGATGCTCGGCCGGTTAGATTAATAAATCTGCCCTTGCCCCAGCCAGTGCATGAACTTCAAGGCATTCGCCTATAATCGCCATTTAGATAATTAGGCTGTTTAAAAAGCCAAAAATCAGTACATGAAGTGGCTGTGGCACACTTTAATCGGCATGGGGCGAGGGCGTTTAGAGACTGCCAAAAGCGTTAATGAAATTTCCTCAGGGTCGCTGCATGCCTACGAATAAATGGGGTGAGCTCACGCCAGTGGGTCCACTTATTCTTATTCAGACTCGATTTGAACTAGCTTGGGGCGATGGCAAATGTCAAACAGACTGTTCTTCAACAGCAGAGGAGAGGAATGAACGCTGGCTGAGCTAGATATTGCGATGAATCGCAGCAACGAGCTTGCGCGTGCGGGAGGAAGGGCGTCCAAGGAAAGTGAAAAATGTCAACCTTCAAGCCGTCGAAGCAGATCACCCCGAAGAGAGAAGCATCAACGGGGAAGCTCCCCGCGACCACGACTGAGGAATGAGTCAGACGTGACGCCATGACCATTGAGTTTTGCGGTGTTCGTGGGGAATAAACCGATGACTGAGGTAGATTCCATCGTCAATGATCCGGGTGTAGCGGTCGAGTTTGCCTGACAGATCTTTCCACCGGAAGTCCAATAATCGATGGTTGGACAACGCAATTTTGAAGTGTTTCGAGAAGGAATTCATGGGGCGGTAAAGGGGCTATACACTGCCTATGAAGTCGGCATGCGTCTGCGCGCCGCGTGGCGGGAGATAGAGAAAATGGACGAACGGGTCCGCAGTTCGGAGGCTCGTGCGAAGAAGGTGGAGGGCGAGCTTAGGGAGCTTAGGAAGGTTAAAGTCACCGATCCGCATGCGACGGGTCAATCTAACCCGATTGTGGACGAGAGGGTGACCTAACGGCTATTGAGTCATGACATCGCCAACCGAGATACGGCAGGCATGTTTGCCGTATCAAATGCGAGGGCCAAGGGTTACGAGGAGGGTTTCCATGCTGGCCGAAAAGTTGGGATCGACAAAACGAAAGAGACACTTGCCGTGTGTAGCACGTCCGCGAGGGACCCCGCTATAGTTCGGACTCGATTTTGTTTGTGGTTCTAAATCTGAACCAAAGAGTCCAAATCCAGCAAATCGTTTTGAGAAATAGATTTTTGAAAAGAAGTGCCAAACATGGATTGCTTTGCCAGATACAGAGTCGCCACCTAAATATTTTTTATGGGGGAATTTAGGAAACCCTGACTCGGTGCCAAAGGCCACATGTCCGTCATCACCAAAGTTGCCTCAGCTCGAGAGCTTGGGTACGATTGGGGAAGGTCAGCTATGAGCACCCCCTCTCGCCCGATCCGAGGATCGGCTTCTACTAACCATGATATCCGATTTTGAAAACGTTATGTGTTCTTATTCCGGTTATTAGCCTAGAATTACTATGTTATGCGCACAAAAAACAAGTATAGACCAAATCACCTAAATTGGAACAAAACATAGCATGTTTGTTTTGAAAATGGTTTGCTACTCGCAAGTAGGCTAAAATGCAGGTTTTGCCACCCTCAAGTGGACTTTTAGGAAAAATGGTTTTGCCACTATCGAGTGGGCTTAAAACTCGCAGTTTTAATGAATTATCCTAATTTAGGCAATTCGACCTTCATCCACAGGCATTCAAGCAGTTATATCACATAAGCAGCTAGCCTCATGGTAATCATGCAATTATGGCAACACTCACACACATGCGGCATGCTAAAGCATAAAAGCTCACCTAGTACTCCAAGCCAAAACAGAAACCAGTTAGTAATCACATGCATGATCCTAGTTCATATTTGAAATGGCTAATGCAACACATGCAAAGATGCAATCA